GAAGACCCTACACTACTTTACCCTATGTTACACAGTCAATGAAATTCAAATGCCAATTTCTCACTTGTGTCTGTGCACTATGAGCATCCTATTTTCCATTTTCACTGTATCTCTAATTTTCAAAATCCCAGAGAAAGGCTTTCTGCAGTACCCTCACATTGATGATGAAAACCAGAAACTACAAAATATGTAGCCTTATTAATAAAATATCTCAACCAATTTTATCCCAACACACCACCACAGGAACAGAAATAAAGCAAAAACTACGAAGTCATTTTAAGGCTTGTTTTACAAAATGCTAGGTGGAATATCAACTGATAAATCCTTATTTAGCACCTGTGTGTTCAGCATTGTGTCGAGGGGAAAAACAGCTATGTGAGAAAGCCACAAGTTCTAAGTAAATGAATATGAAAGTTATACAAGGGACACCAAGTTTAACTACATAGGAATAATGAGAAAGAGGACAATATCAGAAAAGTCTTTTTATTGAAAGCCAAGAAGACTAATTCAAATATGTAAGAACTGTGACAATGGTCATATTCCTTACCTGGGTCCACTCAGTCAGTTTTCTACAGAGCCTACATGGAGGGTCCATTTGTTTTTTGTTTGTTTGTTTTTAAAGGCAAACCAAGATGAGGGGAGGACCATGGTTGAACCTCAGTGATTGAGAATTCATGCTCTTGAAGCATCATACTAGTCTTTAGCAACAAATGGTGCACGCGCGCGCACACACACACACACACACACACACACACACACACATTTCTGAGACTGTGTTTCGCTCTGTTGCCCAGGCTGCAATGCAGTGGCGTGATCTCGGCTCCCTGCAAGCTCCACCTCCCAGGTAGCTGGGACAACACGCCTATCTCCTGCCTCAGCCTCCCAAGCAGCTGAGACTACAGGCGTCCACCACCACGCCTGGCTATTTTTTTTTTGTATTTTTAGTAGAGACAGGGTTTCACCGTGTTAGCCAGAATGGTCTCGATCTCCTGACCTCGTGATCCACCCGCCTCAGCCTCCCAAAGTGCTGGGATTACAGGCATGAGCCACGGCGCCCAGCCTAGACTTGATTTTTTAAAAAGGGCAGGAGAGGGCTACTAAACAAAGACTATGTGAGGAAGAAAATATTTCAAAAATATCAATTAGCAAGTGTTATGCAAGTAACTAGAAATGACAGGAGTCAAGAAGACAAGTTAGAAAATTACTGTTCAAATAATGGTTTCAAATGATGGCAACAAACTTTTTCAGAAAATACACCAATGGATCCAGTCAAACGACATTCTTTTAAACAAACACACTGTATGATAATATATGAACCGCCACAACACTATCAGTAATCCTGACAGAAGGTATAATTACATTGCTTAACTGGCAACTAGGGGCACTCCTTCCTATTAGAACTTGGCAGTTTCAAAAAAGCAGCCAAAAAACATACTACCAAAATTTGAGGCTTTCTCGATGAGCTTAATTTCAGTCCAATTAATAAGTGCCTGCCACACCCTACATTAACAGGCACAGATTTGTTTAAATTAATCTCCCCAGGGGCAGGCTAATTCAGGGGTTAGTATTATTAGAATCTGTGTGAACAACTGGGTGCAGGTGTTCACATTACCAACAGGAGAATTAAACTCTTAAACCACTTTTAGCAGATAGTGGGTGTTCGGTGAACTAATGGAATTTCTAAAGGGTGGAGTATACATGGGGACACTAATATGTAAAGCAGTGACACTGTAAGCTGAAAAATAATTTGTCTTTCTTTACAATAAGTGACCGCCATCATTCATCACAGAAAGCTACAGTCACAAGTCAAATTAACTACTGTATCACAATCATCATATTATGCTACATACATATACCTTACTGGTTCAGAATGTAACCTTTCAGAAGAAAAACAAGACTGGTTGTTAACAATCCTGCAAAGTAACTGAACCTCTGTAGACAGTAAATAAACAGCAGACAATGCTCCTTTAGGCCCTGAACGAAACAGGTTTGGCATAAATCTGTTCAATGTGTCCTTTCCATTTTACATAAACAAGTAAAAGGCAAATCAGAGAGAGTAACTACCACTACACTGGCTTGCGACTTGCCTTAAGATGAATTTGTTTAGAAAGTTTGTTTTAAATTGATCATATCGGGGGAGGGGGGGCTCGATGGCTCATGCCTGTAATCCCAGCACTTTGGGAGGCCCGGGTGGGCAGATCACGAGGTCAGGAGATCGAGACCATCCTGGCTAACACGGTGAAACCCCGTTTCTACTAAAAAATACAAAAAATTAGCCAGGTGTGGTGGCGGGCGCCCACCTACTCAGAAGGCTGAGGCAGGAGAATGGCAAACCTGGGAAGCAGAGCTTGTAGTGAGCTGAGATCACACTACTGCACTCCAGCCTGGATGACAGAGCAAGACTACATCTCAAATAAAAAAAAAAAAAAAACTTATTAAGTTTGTATTTAAAAATTTAATGGCCAGGCCTGGTGGCTCACGCCTGTAATCCCAGCACTTTGGGAGGCTGAGGTGGGTGGATCACAAAGTCAGGAGTTCAACACCAGCCTGACCAATACTGAGAAACCCCGTCTCTACTAAAAATACAAAAATTAGCCGGGCATGGTGGCAGGCACCTGTAGTTCCAGCTACTTGGGAGGCTGACACAGAAGAATCACTTGAACCCGAGAGGTGGAGGTTGCAATGAACCAAGATCGCGCCACTGCACTCCAGCCTGGGCGATAGAGCGAGACTCCATCTCAAAAAAAATAAAATAAATTTAACATCAGAAAATTTACAACACATTCAAGAAAATGTTAAGTGGCCACAAATCCAAATGAGTACTACAACAATCTTGACTTCTTGAAATAACTTTTCCAACTACAAGAAAAACCAACAAACAAAAAGCTTTGCAATACCCAAAGTTAGTCTGAACAAATACATCATCCCAAAACCAAACAAACTATATCCCAGGAGAACTACCATAAAGAGTAAAATTCAAAGTTTAAGATGTTCTACTGCGAACAAACTAGTCATCTATTCCTCAAGGAGTTCAATCACAGACACAGAATAATTTTGTCAAATATAATTGCCTACAAGACATCAGCACATAGTTCACAGAAGGTTATGAAGACTGCCTGCTTACAAAGAAAACAGAATGCTCTGTTAATGAAAGAATACTAGAAAATGGACAATTATGAACAGCACTAAATGAAACTAATGAACTTGAGAGGACTAATCTTTTTTTAACCACAGTAACTTTTTTTTTAATCAGAAGAAATTGTCCCATTGAATGACAGCTGCCACTGGCACAGTCCCAGGGCAAGGATGCCATCAAAGGTTTTCTCTTAGCACCAGCTACCAAATCCTGGCCCCACACCCTGAGGGAGGACCTGTGAAAGTGCTCACAATAACTTTCTTACCATTAAATCAAATATTTAATGACGAGGAAATACAAACCAAGACTATCACACTTTTTCTTTTTTCTTTTTTTTCTTTAAAGAGATGGGGTTTCACTCTATTGCCCAGGCACAATCATAGGTTACTGCAACCTCGAACTCGGGGACTCAAGAGATTCTCTAGCCCCAGTCCAGTGAGTAACTGGGACCACAGGCGAATATCACCTTCATATATTTAAAATAAGTCCTCCATTTTATCATATGAGGTTTCAAGATGAGGGTCCAGATCAAGTGGAAAACCAGATCAAGTAATGAAACATCACTCTTATTTTGTTTTTTAGTTGAGGTGAAGTGAACTCACTACAACTACTCATCCATATATAGCAACCATCAGGAATGTGTTCGTATTTACGTGCTGCACAAGCAGTGATCACATTCTTGTGTGTGCATATGTGTGTATACATGTGTATGTACATTTCTTTAACCTTTTCAATCTAGTTAAAAGTATTTTCAGTTCATAAGCATGGTATGTGTACAGACACATTTTCCCAGAACTTCTTGTAGAGGACAGGAAATCCTTCATAACATTATTACAATAGCTAAATGACAATTGTCTCCAATAGCCATATACATATACATACCCTGAAAAATGCTTCAATCACTCCACAAACACGAATCTCCAAACTACTGAATACAAGTTTTATATTATCTTCTATCAATAGGATGGCTTATTAAAAAATTTAGTAAATGTGTATTAAGTCCACGGATGTCAACTGCCATAGGCACTTTCTTGAGCTTACTGGGTCACACAAACTAAAGACATGAGTGGCATGACCACGGCAGTGCAAGATCACATTAAGGTGAAAAACCTTGTATCATTTAAAACAGGATGTCTCAACCTCAGTACAGGTGACATTTTGAGCCAGATCATTTTTTGTTGTGGGAGCTTCTTCGTATTATCGAATATGTAGCAGCATCTCTGGCCTCTACCCACTAGATGCCAGTATCACACCCTCCCCAGGTGTGAGAACCGAAAATGTCTCCAGATAGTGACAAATGTTCCCTGGGGAGGAAATTTTGGTCTAGGAATCTAAAAACTTAGTACAGTGTGTCAGTTTCAAAAGAGTATATTCTGCAAAACCAAGGAAGTTCCAAAACAACTTCAGGCATTCCAAATAGCTGCTTTATACAAAACTTTCTTGGATGAAGTAAATGAAACCGTGTTACTGGAGATAGCTAATTCTTCCACATGTGCATGATTAAACACTTGTGATGATGAATCTGGGACAGGCTGGGACAGGAGCCAACAGTGACTGGGTTTTATAGTTTCGATGAATTACACCTCCTTTTAACCCTTCAGTGGACTAACCATCCTGCCAGGGTAACCCTTTATTCGCCAACCATATTCCCTGACGTCTTCCACGTAAGATTCACTCCTGCGGGCCCTCACCTTTTGACACTGCCTCCCACTGCACTGGGGTCAACTCTCACCCAAGAGTTCCGCCACCAAACCAGCTTGTCCTTGCCACATGCCCCCAGGGCCCCAGCTCTCATCCTGGCATACCCTGTCCAGGCCCGCTCTTGACCCCTGACCCCGCCACCCCCTCCCCCCCAGGGAAGTACCTGAAGTAGTAGACATCGCTCTTGCCAGCACTTAGCCCAGATTTTCGGATCACTTCCTCCTTCTTCCATCCGGGGGGGAGGGCAGGGCAGTCCATCCTCTTCCCGCTCTCCGTGGCCCGGGATCCCCTGGGCCCCGGCCCCGCGCTCCCCGACGGGAAAGGGACCGGCTCCCGCCGGGGGGCGCCGCCGCCACCGCTGCCGCCGCCGCCGCCGCAGCCGCCGCCGTCGCCGCCAAGGCCGCTGCCGCCACTCGGGGGACGGCCGCGGCCCCGGCCCCGGCCCCGTCCCCGTCCCCGGCCACGGCCCCGGCCCCGGCCACGGCCACAGACGCCGCCGCCCCGGCCCGCCTGCTTCCACCGCCCCCGGCCACGGCCGCCGCCCCGAGCGCCTTCCCTGCGCACGCCGCTCACCGGGGACGGGGCGAGCGCGCTGCCCTGGCCCCCCTGCTCTATGGCGGAGTCGCCGCCAGCGCCGCTGCCGCCCGCCGCGCTCTCCCCCTCCTCCTGCTCCGGGCAGCAGCGGCCTCCCCCCGGGTGCGCGCGCATCCAGCCCCCTCCCCAGCCGGCGCTGCGCTTCTTCCGTAACCGAGCCCTTGGAATCCCGGAGACCCGCCCCGCCCGCAGCGCGGCGCGCGGGGGACGCGCGCAAGCATCATAGAGCGGGCGCGCACAGAGCGGCCCTCCTGCCCGGGGCGTGGCCCCGGCCACCGCCTCTTAGGTCCTCCAAGCGCTCTGGGCGGCCATCTTGTCTCCGCCTCCTCGGGGCCACGCCCTCTGCCGCGCTTTTCCGGCCCGTGCCCCCACTGGGCGCGCGGAGCCGGGAAGGTTGGTCAGGCTAGTCACCAGCTGGAGGTGTCATAGTGACTGTGGTCAGTTTGTTTCATACGGGGTAATCTCCACCATTATGTGATTTTACCTATGTTTGCTTCCCAATTAATGAATAACAAGCAAAATAGATCTTATATACTCACTAACTCGGCTATTCATTTAAGGGGATCATAGCCCCTTTTCCCGCCTCTCTGCACAAAGCTTGCAAGGGAGCTTATACTGAAGGAATGAAGCAAAGTGTCCCATTCGCGGAATACCAATGCACCTCCTGAGCCTGGCTTCAGAGCCATTGACAGATTCTCCTGGAACCTTGTAAGGATGTAGGAAGGGAAATGATAACTTGGAATATGCCCATGAGTCAGATGTGGCTTACCTCTATATTCTTCTTAGAGTGACCAGAATCCCTAAATCCATCTAGAAATTTCCAGATGTCTTTGTCTAATACAAAAATCAATGGCCTTTTATTTGGTAAATATTCCCTTATGTTGAATGTTCAGCCTAACCTACTGTCACAAGCCTTTAGGAAACTGTGTGGGATTCTATTCGGTCAGCCAACTCATCATCCAAGAATGATTTTAAAGCATAATGACAAATCGATTAAGGAAACTGATTTGAATTTTAGAAATGCATATTTTCTATAAGTTGTTGAACATTTATACAAGTGTGCTATTGAAATTCAAGACAATGTATTATGAAATGTTTGGAAGATTGAAAAATGTAAAGCACATGTTATCAGCCTGATGATAAGCTATCTTGGGTTTCCGTACTCATATGACCTAAAAACGAGGACCAAGTTTAACGTATAGAAAAAGTTGATTAATATAAAGTAACGAAAATCTAAAATTAATTTGGTTTATCTTTGCAGTATATGCAAACATTAACTCATACACACGAACTTGCCTGTCTCTAAACCTGACCCTAGTCTTCTTTTAATGTCCTTTAGTTGAAAGACACTAATTTATGGCTTCCTACAAAAAATTTAGAAATGTGAGGCTAAAAATTCATCAAGTAAGTTCTGAGGAGAGAGATCAGTACTGGAGACATTCACATAGAAGTCGTTTGTGGCCAGGCGCGGTAGCTCACTTCTGTAATCCCAGCACTTTGGGAGGCCGAGGCCGGCGGATCGCGAGGTCTGGAGATAGAGACCATCTTGGCCAACATGGTGAAACCGCGTCTTTATTAAAATACAAAAATTAGTTGGGCGTGGTGGCGTGCGCCTGTAATCCCGGCTACTTGGGAGGCTGAGGCAAGAGAATCGCTTGAACACGGGAGGCAGAGGTTGCAGTGAGCCGAGATCGCACCACTGCACTCCTGGCAACCGAGCAAGACTGCGTCTCAAGAAAAAAAAGTCATTTGTGAAAATGTCAATTGAAGCAAGTAAGTAAGATCTCCAAGGAAGGGCTTGCATGGTTAATAATAAAAGGAAAGAGGATCAATAACTGAATCTTGAAGAATGCCAATACTTAAGGTTCCACTGAAGGAATAAAGGAAAAAAAAGATATTAAAGTTTGTATGACGTAAGAGAGTACTCTGATTTTCACACATAATTGAAAATAAAGGGTAAACATGAACAAAAAATCTCAGTAGAAACGGTAATTGAGACAGGTGGTTGAGACAACAGATGGAAACAGGTATACTTTTGGAAAATTCTACCTTTTCATGCTGTGCTAATAAGGCTGTAGATCAAATGATATATTGGATACAAAAGCATTCTTAAAGAAATAAATCACAGGATTTTCGGGTCATTATTTTGACTTCTACTACCAGATTCCATTTGCTAAATCCCAGAAGATGTAGCCTAATGTTTCCTCTGTTAAGAAAAATCTCATTTAGACATATCAAAAGCTTTTTGGTTACACCTGAACTTTTCTACTGTGATACCATAGAGCAAAGTAAAAAACAAAAACAAAAACAAAAAAACAGATAAAAATAAATGCTCTTATTTATTCTCCCACTAAAAGAAAAAAAAAATACTCCAATTAGGGCAACAATAAATTCCAAAGGGGACTAGATTGAGATCGAAAACTGTTAAGAATAGACGCTAAATACCTGAGAGAGAGACCCCTTTGTTTCTCTTAAAATACTGGACAAATAATAAACCTTTTATAATTCTAGGAAAATGCATTTTCTATCACTCCTCCAGGAAGCATAACAACGTTGTTTTTCTCAGGTAGTAAAGTTATGACCAAATTTTCAATTTGGTCTCTCTTACAATGGAGAAGGCTTGCTCACTTACCTCTTGGAAAAAGTGAAAGACAAAAGCAAGACAGGATCTGGTCCACTAAATGAACAAACAGAGATGTAACCACCTGTGATCTCTGCCTCCCAGGTATAGAGGCAGGTGCTAAAACACCAACTGTCACCCCTAGAAGACTATTCATTCTTTGATTTTTCCCTTTATTGTTTAGCAGGTAAAACTGAGTAAAGTTAAGCCATTAAAGAAAAAGTTGTTTTAAAGAAAGGTGTTAATCTGGATTTTTATTTTGAAAATTAGAACACATTCAGGTAATGAAACTTCGAAGAATATTAGGAGGTGAGACTGATTTTGAGAACTATATATTCTGTCAAATATATAACCTGCATTTAAACCTTTGAGTGTGATAAAATACCCAATAAAAGCAGGGGTTTTTTGTTTGTTTTTTTGTTTTGTTTTGTTTGGTCTTTGTTTTTTGGGTTTTTGTTTGGTTGGTTGATTGGTTTATTGGGTTTTGTTGTTGTTGTTGTTGTTGTTGTTTTGGCCTCCTGTGTATAACTGGTACCACAGGTACATGCCACCACACCCAGCTAATTAAGACTTTTTTTTTTTTTTTTTTTTTTTGGTAGAGATGGGAGTCTCCCCCTATTGCCCAGGCCGATCTCAAACTCCTGGGCTCAAGCAATCCTCCCGCCCCACTTCCCAAAGCCCTAGGATTATGGGAGTGGGCCACCGCACCCAGCTAGAAAAACGTTTCAAATACTGGAAAACCTTACTTTTTTCAATGAACATTTTTGCATGAAGGAGTAACAGGGACTTTAGGGTTTTTTTCTCTTAGACTCCAAACAGGTCAGAATTTATCAAGACATTACATAGGAGTAAGGGCACAGTGGGGGGGATAAAACATTTTCCAGCACTAATTAACAGGTTTTATGATTCACTAGGTTGGCCCAACTACTGTTCTCACCTAATTCCCAGGCACAGCATGTCACGAGGCCAAATGACACTTTCAAGTGCAAGAGCTTGTAGTATGAAGAGGGCAAAGATCATCTAGTAGCCATCAAGCTGGCCGTCCAGAGGCAAAACTCCTTATGTGAGGAATTTAGAAGTAATTAGGCTCCCCTATTATCTAAAGCTGGCGTCTGTGTCCAGGCTTCTTTCCCAAAAACTTGTAAGTAACTAAAATTTCTACACGTCTCCCATGCATGCATGTCAAAACTTATTATGCAACCCTTGCTGACATTAAGACACCAAAATGTCTAAAAATGTAATCATTTATCATGACCTACGTGGTTAATATGGCCCAAATTCCCTTTAAGCTCCTGCTTTAAGGTCCATAAATATCCCTAAGGAAAATCCACTCATTCCTCTTTTGCTGAGGCGCCCTGCTGTACTCTTCTGCACTGTTCTTTCTTTCTAATAAAACTTGCTTTTTCGAACCTGTGCTGTCTTCTGTAAATTCTTCTCACAACCCTATGACTTGTGAGCCAACCACTTTCCAATGCCAGGGCTCTGACACCGCACCTGGCATAGTATAAATAAAGTTTTTGTTTGTTTGTTTGTTTGTTTGTGTTTTATAACCTTCCACTTGGAAAGACTACAGAGGAATCTTGCACTGCATAGTTCAAACTAAAACGAGAAGAGTTAATTATCTGAAAAGAAAGAGAAAACAAGAAGGGGTAAATTTTGAACCAAGGGAAAACATTTAAGAAGTGTCTGATATTTTTTAAATTGCTGTCAGTTATTACATTTGTCATAAGTAAATGTTTAGGAATAAAGGATGGAGACATGCTTATTTTATTTAACTCTCCCAAAATTAAAAAAAAAAACAAAAAATGGAAAACAAAACAGTGCAACCAGTAGAAAGAAAATGATCTTTAGGTTTTAGAGCCCTCAGATACCACTTAATATGCTGAACAGTGGTTTTTAACTTTAATTCTGGCTGCAAAACACCAGAATGCTAGGACATATGATACATCAGAAATGAGGGCTGACTATGCAGTTTACAAGTGAGGAAGGAGTAGTCACTGAGTAAATCAGAAAATACATCTCACCAAAAGAGACTTTGTACCTAAAATGGCTTTCCCAAGTCCTCATGCATACCTCACGAGGCAAGGCAAAGACTAGAACTCCAGTCTCCTGACTCCAAGTTTAGAGCTTTGTCTGCTTTCACTGCCTGTCCCACCTTCAATGGCCTCTTCACTCTCATGCTTGCTGCTACTTCAAATTGGAAAGAGATTGTCTGTTTCCACCCACACTCTCACCCCAACCTTCCATTTGGCTAATTTCTACTTATCTCTTAGGTTTCACCTTAGACATTACTTCATCCAAGTTGCCTTTTCTAACCTCCCCAGAAATTCCACTGCTGATTTGGTGCCCCCCAGGTTGTATACTCTGCGCCATACTAGTATCCTCATCCATTTATTGTACTTTATTGAATTAGTTTTTTAATTGTCTTTTGTCCCCCACCAGCCCACAAGGCACTTTTCATATTCACCATTGCATTCTCCGTGCCTATTAGTGGACTTGCCGGGCACATGGGAAGGGTTCATTAGATAGCTGATGAATACATTGAATTAATACTTTTTTTTTTTTTTTTTTGAGACGGAGTTTCGCTCTTGTCACCCAGGCTGGAGTGCAGTGGTACAATCTCAACTCACAGCAACCTCCACCTCCTGGGTTCAAGAGATTCTCCCGCCTCAGGCTCCTGAG